AAAAATGGATTTTTTTTTAAGAGCAGTTTTAGGGTCATAGTGAGATTGAGCACAAAGTACAGAGTTCCCATATACCCTTTGCCCCTACACAGTCATAGGTCCCTTTACTATCAACACTGGGCTGCAGAGTGGTACATTTGTTACAATCTCTGAAACTACTTTGACAAATCATTATCACTCCCAAATTCATAGTTTACATTAGGGTTTATTCTTGGTGCTGTGCATTCCGGGTTTGGATATGTATCCACCATTAACGTGTCATATAGAATAGTTTCACTGCGCTAAAAATCCTATGCATTCTACCTATTCATTTCTCCCTTCCCCCAAACTGCTGGCTACCGCTGATCTTTTACTGTCTCCACAGTTTTGTCTTTACCAGAACGTCATACAGTTGGAATCATACATACAGTGCATAGCCTTTTCAGATTGGCTCCCTTCACTTAGTAATATGCGTTTAAGTTTCTTCCGTGTATTTTATGATTTGCTAGCTCATTTCTTTTTTGTGCTGAATAATATTCCATTATCTGGATGTACCACAGTTTATTTACCTATTCACCTACTGAAAGACATCTTAATTGCTGCCAAGTTTTGGAAATTATGAATAAAGCTCCTATAAACGTCTGTAGGCAGGTTTTTGGGTGGACATACTCTTATTTTTATATCTCTATTTTCTAATTTTTCTACAATGAACACTTTCTTCAATGTGTAATATTAAAAAAATTCTTCCTTGAAGAAATGTGGAAAGCCTTAATTCAATGTTTGATTTAGCTGGCTGGAAGTTCAAATAGTTAAGATTTATTACTTTAAGAAAAATACTCTGGCTTTAAAGTAGAGATGAGATTAATTTGTGTTTAATGAGCTCTTACTTGGATGTCAAAAAATGATCACAATAAAAATCAAACAGATTAGTTACTCTGTGTATGGCTCTGTGCTAAGTCCTTACCAAGAATTATCTCATTTATGCATGATCTCACTTATCTGTGGAATCTAAAAAAAAAAACCTAACAGAAACAGAGAACAAAGTGGTGGTTGTCAGATGAGGAGGTGGGTGGGGTAGTGGGGTGGATGATGGGTAGGAGGGGAATGGATGAAGGTGGTCAAAAAGTACATACTTCCAGTTATAAGGTAAATAAGTTCTGGGGATGTGATGTACTTCGTGGTGACTCTACACAGTTAACAATATTGTATATTTGAAAGTTGCTAAGAGATACATCTTAAAAGTTCTCACCACAGGAAAAATATTATAACTATATAAGGTGACCAAGGTTAACTAAATTTATTGTGGAAATCAGTTTGCAATAGATACATATATCAAACCATTATGTTGTATACCTTAAACAAATACATTATATGTCAATTATATCGCAAGAAAAGTGGTTAGGGGGAAGAATTATCATTTAATTCTCAAAGGAAGGGAGGGACCCTAAGTCCTGGTGATGGTGTTTTTAATATATTAAGCTGTGTTGGGCTTCCATAAATTCTTCTCAATCAACACTTATTTACTAACAAGAATTTAGAAAGGAGTAGAGATGGGCTTTCAAATGTATTTTTAAAAATTTTGTTTGTCTATTTGGTTTTTACTTGTTCGCTTCTCTACTTCTATATGTCCAGATTCTATCTCTCTTCTAAAAGCCAACTAAGATAAGAAATTGTACCTGTTTATCCACATAAATTATATTGTGATCCTCATCATGTAGATTATTTGCTATGTTTAGTATGTGACTTTGCTACTATAATTTTAACAATTCTTTGACTTACAAATCCAGGAAAAAGTGTATATTAACCACATCCATTTGTATAGATTTCCCAAGTAAACAAAATGTTGAGAAACCAAATTGAAAAGACTCTCTATGCAGCTGCTTCCCACTAGCTATCTATTTTACATTTGGTAGTGTATATATGTCAATGCTACTCTCTCACTTCATTCCAGCTTACCCCTCCCCCCTCCCTGTATCCTCAAGTCCATTCTGTAGTAGGTCTTGTGTCTCCAATAGATGTTAAAAAAAAAAAAAAAAAAGAATCTCTAGACGAAAACAAGAGTAACAACTCTCATACTTTGCTGAAGGGACCATAGATTGATTGGTACAACCACTTGGAAAACCAGTTTGACAGTATCTAGAAAATAGGCACGCTTTATAACCTAGCAGTTCCACTCCTAGGTATACACACTAAAGTAACACTTGCATAAATGTACATGTTCAAGAATGTTCAAAATGGCATGCATAGCTCATGATAGCCCAAAACTAGAAACAACCTTAATGTCCAATGACAACAAAATCAATTAATAACTATATTCATACATCAAAAATAAATTATCTATAGCATTGCACAATAATATGGTTGAATCTTAAATGTAGATTGAAAGAAGCTAAAAACAAAAGAATATATAATGTATGATTCTATTTATAGAGTTCAAAAGTGAGCAAAATAAACCATAACATTTAGGGGTGCATACTTAGAGGGCAAAGCAAAAAAAAAAGCAAGCAGATCAGTAGTTACTGGGTTTTTGTTTGTTTGTTTGTTAATTAATTAATTATTTAATTTTTGGCCGCGTTGGGTCTTCATTGCTGCTTACGGGCTTTCTCTAGTTGCAGCGAGCGGGGGCTACTCTTCCTTGCCGTACGCAGCCTTCTCATTGTGGTGGGCTCTAGGCGTGTGGGCTTCAGTAGTTGTGAGCTCAGTAGTTGTGGCTCGCGGGCTCTAGAGCACAGCCTCAGTAGTTGTGGCACACAAGCTTAGTTGCTCCACAGCATGTGAGATCTTCCCAGGCCAGGGCTTGAACCCGTGTGTCCTGAGTTGGCGGGTGGATTCTTAACCACTGTGCCACCAGGGAAGTCCTTCATAGTTACTTCTTAAGGAAAGGTATTAAGATAAGGGAGGGACACAGGCAGGATTTCTAGGCACTTAAATGTCCCTTTTTTGGTGTTTATATGAGTGTTTTATGATTTAATTTATATATTTATATTTTATGCACTTTTCTGTATGTGTAATATTTCTAGTAAAAAAATGTTAAAGAAGAGAAAGACCAAAGGCTCAGTCTCAAAATAAACACTGAAAGCATATGATCAGCAACAATTTAATGAGGCCATAGCAGTTACAGGATTCTCAAATGGGTACAGTATAAAACCTGTCATAAAATTAGTAAGAGATGTAAGACAGAACACACTTCAATACTGGTACAGCGGTAATAGCAGCTTTACAAATGTTTATCTATAGGATTTCTATAGTTTTTTTAAAAAAATGAACCTTTATCTCACAAGAATGATCAAATCATTTAAAATAAATTGATACAGTACACAGTGGTTTATTAATATTATAAACATTATAAATGTCCCAGAAAATATTTACAAATACTCACTGGCTTTATTCTCAGTGATTATTTCCTTTAATTTCACTTAATATAAACATAGTAGCAGGTTTAAAAAAATTATTAGAAACAGACATATTTCTTTTTTTTATATAAATTTATTTATTTTTGGCTGCATTGGGTCTTCGTTGCTGTGCACAGGCTTTCTCTAGTTGTGGCGAGCGGGGGCTACTCTTCATTGCACTGCGTGGCTTCTCGCTGCGGAGCACGGGCTCTAGGCACGCGGGCTTCAGTAGTTGTGGCTCGCGGGCTCTAGAGCGCAGGCTCAGTAGTTGTGGCACATGGGCTTAGTTGCTCCGTGGCATGTGGGATCTTCCCGGACCAGGGCTCGAACCCGTGACCCTTGCATTGGCAGGCGGATTCTTAACCACTGAGCCACCAGGGAATCCCAGAAACAGACATATTTCATAACTTCCATTATCTGTTTAATTTGCATCCATAAATGTAAATATAAATGTGGGTCTCATGAAAAAAAGAACACTGTCCCCACGTCTGCCTTCCAGTTTGGTGACTTTCCACAACACTGTATTTGGCATCTCAAAGCTATATTTATCTGAGGAAATATAGGCATTTTGGGGAATTTGCTAAAATATCTTTCTAGCCTGAGATAACCAGGGGATATTTCAGAGATATCATCTTATGTAGCTGTTTCCTGTCGGGCTAGAAAGTTCAGTAAAAAACTGCCACTCCTTGTTTCCCCTCCACGAGGAGATGCTATCCTTATTCTTGGAACTGCAGCGGAAGTTATCAGCATCAAAGCTAATCCTGTGCCTTCAGAGTCACACTTACCCTAATGAGAGTTCCTCTTCTTCCATATTTATCGCATTAGTGATTAGGGGTCCTGGCTGAAGCTAGAGTAGTGTCTACTGCTAAGTAGACATGTCTGACAAACTGGGGGCTCCCAGAAATCGGCAACTTTGTAGAAGACTGACTGATAGGGTTGCCAAATAAAATATAGGATGTTCAGTTGAATTTGAATTTCAGATAAACAACGAATAATTTTTTAGTATAAATATGTCCCATGCAATATTGGGGACATATTTAAACTTCAAAAAATTATTCATTGTTTAATGGGACATATTTATACTTAAAAGTTATTTGTTGTTTATCTGAAATTAGACTTTGATGGGGTGTCATGTGTTTATATTTGCTAAATCTGTCAACCCTGTACTGTCAGGAAAAAGCAAAATCCAGTGAGGTGTGTGTGATCACTGTTATTGAATCAATAGGTGGCTGAGGACAGGGAATCAGATCTCACAGTGAACCTGCTATGGACTTCAGAGAATCCTTGGTGGGGCACTGTGGAAAACACAAGGTTCCTGTTGAGGTCTTCATGAAATTTATATTTAGCGTCATGAATGTGGATAGCAGATATCAAAGTGAGGAATATCTCAGACTTCAGTAAGCCAAATATAACTACCTACCTAAGATGCTAGAAATGATATTCTAATTTTTTTAAAAACCATTTATTTATTGTTTTGGTTACGCCGGGTCTTAGTTGCAGCAGGCAGGCTCCTTAGCTGTGGCTCCAGGGCTCCTTAGTCGCAGCTTGCCAGCTCCTTAGTTACAGCATGTAGGCTCCTTAGTTGCAGTATGCAAACTCTCAGTTGCAGCATGTATGCAGGATCTAGTTCCCTGACCAGGGATTGAACCCAGGCCCCCTGCATTGGGAGAGCGGAGTCCCATCCACTGCACCACCAGGGAAGTCCCATGATATTCTAATTTTTAAGGTCACGTTGGAGTTTTTGTTTCAAATTCTTTTGGAACAGTTAGGTTTGAATGGGGGATGGTTTTACTTCTTAATTGATTATAGGGAACAGAAATAAAATCTAGAGGGTCTGTTTTTTATGGTTAAGTTTGTAGCACTTAATGAATGCATGAACTTTACAGGCTGAAATACTTTGCTTTTCAATTACCTGAGACTACCCAAGATCAATGGGCACCAGGTTATTTTCTTAATGTCATAACTGCACCTATAGAGTAAAAATTAGAGTTACCCAGTTAAACTTGAATAACCTCCCCAACCTAAATTTGGTAATTCCAGGATAAACATCACTTTGGGGATCGCATTTTCCCATCTGTTCTATTATTGATCATGTAAACTAGAAAATATCCTAATACTTGCTTTATACTACAGTATGTATGGGCTCCATACATATTTTAATTCTTCGAATGAATGATATATTAATATAATTATTTATACATACTACATTAAAAAAAGGATTGGGATAATATTATCTGTATATTTTATGGATCATCGTATGGAGTCAGGCAGAGGTGGCATCATTTTGTTCATCAAAGCTGCTTGTAGAAAGTGGCAGAGTTTGAGTTGGGCTTCTAGGGTGAGCCAGCTATGAAAAAAAACAAAGGTCCCAAGTATAATATGAATGATGTTCTTGTGGCCAGCACAGCTCTTCTTCTTCCTCACTAACAAAACCCAGATTTTATGCAAGGCAGCAATGCATCTGGTTTCTAAAAACCACTTTTTCCCAGCTTCCCTGATATTATCAGAAGTTCCTGCATATCCCCTGTTTAAAGAGATGAAGGGCAGCTTAGTTAGCACACCCTTTTGCCCTTTGCCCTTCTTATCTTGCCTACAATGTGGACGTGAGGCTTCAGGAAGTGTTGATATTCTGCACCGTAAGGATGAAAGCCACATATTAAGGATGGAAGAGAGGTGATTACATGGTCAAGCTGCTGTACCCGTTACGCACTGCCTATTTCCCAAGGCAATATGCAGAAAAGAAAAATAAGGCCTTATTTGGTTAAGTCACTATAGTCAGATTTCTATTACGAGTAGGCAAATGCAAAGCCTAACTAATACAGTTGCTTCAGAATTAAACGAAAAAGGAAGTCTAAGGAGTGGGAAAAGTCATTCCATGTCTAACAACAGTTTTTACTAGATATCTTCTAGTAAGTGGATTTTGAGGAGCACAACATATGGCATAGGTCTTATGTGTGATTTTTGATGTCATTGCTCAATATATGGGTTTATCGTTCATTATATTTTTAATTGTTTCCACATTACGCAACCCACTATAGTAGTTATGGGGTAGGGCAGGGACAAAAAGGATCCTAGAGCTAAACAAAGAAAGGAAGTGAGGGTTCTTCCTCCCTCTGCCCATCACAATTTGTGGTATTACCAAGGATCTGGGGGTGGACTCCTATTGGATGCTCCAAAAGGAGGAAAGAGGAATCCAGTCACACCTCCAAAGAAGGTCATATAGTGCCCAGGAGGACCAAGTTGATCGGCAAGAGGGAAACAAAGCTGTCCTGCAAAAGGCACTGATTCTCTCTTTTTTAAACGGTAGTTGATTTACAATGTTGTATTAGTTTCAGGTGTACAGCTTCAGATTCTTTTCCACTATAGGTTATTACAAGATAGTGAATATAGTTCCCTGCACTATACAGTAAATCCTTGTTGTTTATCTATTTTATATATAGTAGTGTGTATCTGTTAATCCCATGTTCCCAATTTATCCCTCCCCCCACCCCCCGCCTTTGGTAACTGTAAGTTTATTTTCTATGTCTGTGAGTCTATTTCAGTTTTGTAAATAAGTTCATTTGCATTATTTTTTTTAGATTCCATATAAGTGATATATAATATTTGTCTTTCTCTGCCTAACTTCACTTAGTATGACAATCTCTAGGTCCATCTGTGTTGCTGCAAATGGCAGTATTTCATTCTTTCTTATGACTGAGTACTATTCCATTGTGTATGTGTGTTTGCGTGTGTGTTTGCGCGTGTGTGTGTGTACCACATCTTCTTTATCCATTCATCTGCTGATGGACATTTAGGTTGCTTCCATGTCTTGGCTATTTATAAGTAGTCCTGCTATGAACATTGGTGTACATGTATCTCTTTTAATTAGAGTTTTTGTCTTTTCTGGATATATGCCCAGTAGTGGGATTGCTGGATCATATGGTAACTCTATTTTTAGTTTTTTAAGTAATCTCCATCCTGTTTTCCATAGTGGCTACACCAATTTACATTTCCACCGACAGTGTAGGAGTGTTCTCTTTTACCCACACCCTCTCTAGCATTTATTATTTGTAGACTTTTTGATGATGGCCATTCTGACCAGTGCATTTCTCCAATAATTAGCAATGTGGAGCATCTTTTCATGTTCCTGTTGCGCATCTGTATGTCTTCTTTGGAGAAATGTCTATTTAGGTCTTCTGCCCATTTTTTTGGATTGGGTTGTTTGTTTTTCTTGTTATTGAGTTGCATGAGCTGTCTGTATATTTTGGAAATTAAGCCCTTGTCAGTCACATTGTTTGCAAATATTTTCTCCCAGTCTGTATGTTGCCTTTTTTTTTTTTAAATTCAGGTTGTATTCTGCTGTCTCTTTTGTTTTTTTAAGATTTTTTTGATGTGGACCATTTTTAAAGTCTTTATTGAATTTGTTACATTATTGCTTCTGTTTTATGTTTTGGTTTTTTGGTCTAGAGGCATGTGGGATCTTAGCTCCCTGACCAGGAATTGAACCCACACCCCCTGCATTGGTAGGTGAAGTCTTAACCACTGTACTGCCAGGGAAGTCCCCGTAGGCTGTCTTTTTGTTTTGTTTATGGTTTCCTTTGCTGTGTATAAGCTTACAAGTTTGATTAGTTGTCATTTGTTTATTTTTGCATTTATTTCTTTTGCAAAAGGCACTGATTCTTAACAAGGGAATGAAGGAAGGGAGGACAGTGCTGGGGTGGGAAGAGTGTCTGCAGTGGAGTTTGTGGTGTGTCTCTTGGCCCAGAGGGAGATGGAAATATAAGCTTCATAGCCAAAGAGGCCAGCAGCCCTGTGCCCCAGCACTCTAGCAGGGGTGGTGGAAGGATGGCTCCTTCTCACAGATCTGATGATAGAGGTGATCAGGGAGATGAGACAAATAGGGTTTGGAAGAAATCACACAAGGGCCAGCTGATGCACTGGATTTTGGTGTATGGGTCATACATGTAGGTGACAAAGAAGAAAGCTGCCAAGACCTTTTCTTATCAGCTCTGCATGATCTGACTCCTATCCCCATCTCTATTCCTATCTTTCTGTTACAGCCACACCGGCCACTTTTCAATTCCTCAGATAGACTGTGATCCCTCCCACAATGAGACCCTTGCACCTGCTGTTCTTTTTGCCTAGAGCTCTCCTCCCTGACATCCAAGGTGGGCTCACTCCACAGGTACCCTCTCCAGTTAATGCCTATTCATCTTTCAAGTCTTACCTCATCCCTTCCTAAGGGAATCTTTCCTAGATCATCCAGGCTAGATCAAGTTCCCCCCAACAGAATCTTGTTCCTTTCCTTCACAGAAGTTACTTCAGTGCAAAATTATACAAATTGTGATTATATGATTAATATCTACTTTCCCCACTAGACCGAAAGATCCAAGACAGCAGATCTGTGTCTGTTTTTGCTTACCACTATACCCCTGGTACTCCAGCACAGTGCCTGGCATATAGAAAGTGCTTAATAAATACTTATTAATGAAATTAATAAAGCCAGACGTTCATTGCTAAAGTGGAGATGATAATCCTAGCTATCTCATAGAATTTCTTGAAGCCTAAATATGAAAGTGCTTTATAAAGCATAAGGAACTGTTTTAAAATTACTATTATTAAGAAAGATGCTTTAGATTATGATTCTAAATAAATACATTTGAAGAAAAGGATCCAAAGTCTTTTTTTCCCTAAAGGCTTACCTGAAACTTTCTCTTCAAGGCCTGGGTCATTACTGGGGTCAGCCCAGTTCCTGTTTCCATATTTTCTTTATTGGTAAGTGGGGTTCCACCTGGGCTCCTGCAAAGGTATTGAAAATATTAGGAGCTGTGTTTTATGCTGAATTTTCAAATGAATTTAGAAAGCATAAAGATAGGAGAGTGGATTACCTCTCTACATCGACTTTTCTGAGTAGTTTTCGCAGATCTAACTGGCTTTTACCAGGAGTACTGATAAAATACAGAAACAAAAGTTAGAGCTTGCCAGATTTTATAATTTTTCCAAAGCAAAGCAGTCATTTCTATAGGCAACATCCTAGAAAGTAGTTTGTTGCATTTGTTACTATTTATTACATTTAAAAATAGCAGTAGATGCAGATAGGAGCATAAAGTGATATAGTGATTCTAATAAGTAATAGTTTTTGACTCAGTAATTACACATGTAAGAATCCATCTTAGGGCAAAACTCAGCTATGCATACAGATGATGGACAAGGATGTTTACTGAAGAGTTATAGAAAAAAAAAAAATCACAAACAACCTAAATGTCTCAAAACAGGATTTTTATCTATGAAATTCACATATTAAAAAACTGCATCTATTGAAGAAGTCAAAATGATGGTTTAAACTAATTTTTAATGAGATATGGGAAAGTTCATGACATATTAATGGGAAAATCCATATCTGTATGTATAATGATTATACACAGGTACACACATAAACATATCATATTTCATTGATTCCAAAACATAAACATATCATGTTTCATTAATTCCAAGAAAACTAGTTTTCTTATTTTATTATTTCTGAAATTGTGCTGCTTTGAAAATTCCTGATAATATTCCCCCCCAATCTGTTATTAAATCAATGGTGTATTTTGTAATAAACAGCATCATGAAATGGAAATAATAGAGTATATGTCCAGAGAAAGACTAGAATGATAAACAACAGTATGTTAACAGTATGTGGCTATCTCCAATGATAGGATTATTTGCGTGATTTTTGTTTTCTTCTTGAAACGTTTCTGTAGATTTCAATTTTCAATGATCACATGTAACTTTTAAAGTTAGAAATAAGCAAAAAATCATTATTTTAAGTAGCAGTAGAGTGTAGTACTGTGTATTTCCTTACATTAAGACATTTGTAACTCGAGTTGATAACACTTTGGACTTCGGTTTCAGGGAAACGCACCGCAGGTCGGAGACAGTAACTAGTGGATTCTGTGCCTTTGGTGATGGTACAAGCTTTAATCACAAAATGAGACACTATTAAAAACACATTTAAAAATAGCATTCAAAATGTAAACATACTAAAACAATAAATATTTGAGTGCTGAATATGTGTAAGATATATCTATTCAATTTTTATTCCAAAGCTTCAAAGTATATCTCTGCCTCTTCAAACTAATGGTTGGTAGATAAAACTGCCTAATTAAATAATTTGGGGATTTACCTATTTTGTTGAGGAGATCCAAAATTACTCAAGAAAAAAAAAATCAAATACTTACCTCAGAATGGTTTCTATATTTAAGACTTATGCTTATTTTCCATTAAGGGACAACCAGGTTAAAAGCCGAAAGACCACATGTTTGGTCAATGACATCTTACCTTCCTCCTTTCATCAAAACTCTGTGTCTTCTTTAATTTCACAGTCAGTAGATCTTTAACTGTTATATGCATGGGTACATTTTTTTTTAATGGTCCAGCCTTAAAATACATGGAGAGGTTAGAATTCAAATTGGAACCAGGACATTTAGTCAAATGCAAATCCAAATCTAATTTTTAAAGACTCTTTAAAAATTAACTTAAAAATTAACTCTTATTTCCCCTAGGAGCCTATCAAATTCTTTCCATTCAACCAAGAACAATTCTGTTTTCAGTATCCATGGATGCTAAGGCTATTGAAAAGTATTCACCAAAATGTAAGGCTTTGATAGTAAGAGATGGGCTAGTTCCTTGTAACTATGCATCTTCCTTAGGAGTCATTGTAATAGGACAGGAGATGAAGGAGTTCCTTAAATCAAAGTGAAATTTTGGGGACTTCCCTGGTGGCTCAGTGGTTAAGAATCCACCTGCCAATGCAGGGGACATGGGTTCGAGCCCTGGTTCGGGAAGATCTCACATGCCATGGAGCAACGAAACCCGTGCGCCACAACTTCTGAGCCTGCGCTCTAGAGCCCGCGAGCCACAACTACTAAACCCGTGCGCCACAACTACTGAAGCCCGAGCGCCTAGAGCCCGTGCTGCGCAACAAGAGAAGCCACTGCAATGAGAAGCCCATGCACCGCAACAAAGAGTAGCCCCCGCTCGCCACAACTAGAGGGAGCCCGCGCGCGGTAACGAAGACCCAACGTTGCCAAAAATAAAAATAAGTTAATTAATTAAAAAAAAAATTTTTAAAGAGCAAGTTAAAAAAAAAAAAACAAAGTGAAGTTTTGCCTGAACTCCCTAAAAGGATGACTCAGTTCCCATAGAGGAAGGACGTATATTCAAAGAGGTATATATTAGGGCAAATATAACAATAGGCTCTGCATTTAATTCAGCCATTTTCAACCAAATATATCTGTAGTGAAAATTCAGCAGATTTTTAAATAGGGCCAGGCCTATCTTAGTGATTTACAAATACTCTGGTCCCCTTGGAAGATAAGTAACTCTAATGGAGACTGGTTCTCCAGCCTAATGGCATTATACTTTAGGATCCACAAATTCTTTTTATTCTGACTTCACTCACTAAGCTATCTTTGTTTTTAATTTGGTTTCCCAGAGAGATTTCCATTTTTGTAAAGAATCCAACAGGAATCTCCCACCTTGCTGGATTTCATTCATTTATCCTTGAAAAAAAATCACTTTCATTTCTAAATCCCACTTTCGTGATCTCTCAGAGGACTGTGTCTTTAAAAACAATAATTGACATAATTAAGATATGGAAACAGAACAAAATGCAGCCCTTCCTGTCAAAGCCCTTAGCCCAGCCTTAAAAGGACACCTGGCTGTACTCCTTCATTACACACTGACCAAAACACACCTTTACTAGATTGTTTTTTACCTGATGTGCCTTAGTGAGATCAGATTTTCTGAGCAGCAAAGGTGCTGTCAGTGGTGGAGGCGGAGGGAGCGGGGGCGGAGGGGGCGGGGGCGGGGGCGGGGGCGGAGGAAGACGACTGGCTGGCTGTGGCAGCGAGGTGGGCAGTACAGCCTCGGAGTCTCCAGGGGTGGTTAGAGCACATGCAGGCACATTTGTAAGTTTACCACGCATGTGACACATCTGACCACAGCTTGGACAGGAAGAATTTTCTGAGACGGCCTGGAAGAAAACGTTACAGTTGGCAACTGAAGAACAGATTTATTTGGTTCTTATGGTTGAGAGTCATCAAAACCATACCTACCATGTATTGAATGCTTTCTCAGTATACCATATGCTCCGTAATATTTTCTCATTTATCACAAGCTCATTCATTCATTCATATATTTGTTTTGTGTGTGCTATATGCCAGGCACTGTGGGTACAATATGAGCCCTGTCTGTCACCTCATCGAGCTGACAGTCTGGCGAGGAAGACAAGACATTAAACATACACAAAACACATTCAAAACAAACCAAAATGATACTTCAATAATAGCCATGAAGTGTGCTGTGAGCATGAATAGTCAGAGGTCTGGGGAGTGATATTTAGCCATGATCTCAAAGATGAATTTAGCTTTACCAGGTGAAGAAGGGAGATAAAAACTGGGGGAAGAGTTCCTGGCAGAGGGAAAAACAATGCAACCAAGAATATAGTATGTTCAAGGAGCTGATAAAAAAGTTCAAGGGCCTGGAACATGACTGTTATGGGCTGAATTGTCCTCCCCCATTACAGCTCATATATTGAACCCTCAACCCCCAGTACCTCAGAATGTGATTGTATTTGGAGATAGGGCCTTTAAAGAAGTGATTAAATTAAAAGGAGCCATTAGGGTGGGCTCTAATCCAATGTGACTGGTGTCCTTATATAAAGACGAAACTTGAACAAACAGGAGACACCAGGGATGCACGTGCACAGAGAAAAGACAATCTGAGGACATAGAAGGCAAGTCGAGGAGAAAGTCATTAGAAGAAGCCAACCCTACCAACACCTTGAGCCTAGACTTCTGGCCTCCAAAATTGTGAGAAAATAAATTTTTATTGTATAAGTCACCCAGTCTGTGCTACTTTGTCATGGCAGCCCTAGCAGATGAATACAACAACCCTAAGAAGTAAGGGGGCATACTACAGGCTGCTGTAACAAAGTATCACAAACTTGGTGGCTTAAAACAAAATTCATTCTCTCACGGTCCTGGAGGTTAGAAGACTGAAATCAAGGTGTCAGTAGGACTGCACTCCCTATGAAGGCTCCAGGGAAGAATCTGTTTCTTGTCTCTTCCAGCTTCTGGAATCTACTGGCATCCTTTGGTTTGAGGCCTCATGACTCCACTCTCTGCCTCTGTGGTCCCATTGCTTCTCCTCTTCTCTGTACGTTCTACTCTGCATTGTCTTTTATAAGGGCACTTGTCACTGGACTGAGGGTCCACCCAGATAATAAAGTATGATCTCCTCACCTCAAAATCCTTAACTCAATTATATATCTGCAAAGACCCTTTTCCCAAAAAAGGTAATATTTACAGGTTCCAGGGATTAGGACTTGGACATGTCTTTTGGGGGGCCATCATTCAGCTCACTACAGATGGCATCTTCCCCACTTTATAGATGAAGAAACTGAGGTCCAGGTTGTGAAGTCCAGGTAATGAGGTGATTTGCCTTTCCTCCTCTGGTTAGCTCATCTTGAGGCACAAATTCTGGAAGTAGGGGTGTAATCCCAGAAGTGTCTCTCCAAACCAATGAGCACAATGTTTATTCTTTAGGTTTTAGACACTGAGAATAGGGGTCCTGCTTAGGGGAGTTCGGAGAGAGTGGATATTTATAGTTTTTTCCTGCCTACATCAGTCAAGAAAATAGAAACCACCCTGAGTATTTAGAAGAGGGGACATGTAATATAGTGAGTTGGTTATACTGCTGATGGAAGAGCTGAGAAGCACGCAGGGGACAGTGAGGCATCCCAGAGATTAGCAATGGCATAAAGCCACGAACACCCTGACACTGCATGGCCAAAGAGAAGGACAGTATAACCAGATCTCTGGAGCTGGGTTAACCCAGAGAATCTAGAAACATGGTTGACTTACCTAGTGGGAGCTGGAGTTAGGGAGGCAACAACAACCATTGCTGGAGAAATTGCCCAACACAGAGAACAAAGGGGAAAAATACCCCATCCTCTCTCTCCTTCTAATCTCTCATCAGTGTCTCCCATTAGTCCAGCACACCAGGAGCCAGATGACATGGAGCTTGGGAAATGTAGCCTGCAGGAGTCAGCCCCCCTCCAGCAGAGCCTCTGAAGTTTAAGGACTAGACCTGAGAGCAGACATGCCCAGAACTAGCACTAGCCTGTAGCCACTCCTCCTTCTAGTAAAAGCACACTGGGGTTCCAATGGGGGACAACCCCTTCCCTCCTTACCTAATTCTGGATTTGTTTTTCATTTGATAATACTAACCTTCAATGCTTCCTGGAGCTTGTGTAATTCACTTTCCAAAATGCGAAACCGTTGTTTTAGACTATGAAGTTCTTGGTGGCAGAAACGGGATGGAAAGATGGTGTCTTTCAATACTTCCAAACTCTGAAATTAAAAAATAATCAAGCCTGAATCCAATGAGCAATATGATAAGGACAAGAAAGTGGTTTGATGTATGTTTTATAGAAGTGAAGGCAATAACAAGGACCTACTGTATAGCACAGGAAACTATATTCAATATCTTATAATAATTTATAATGGAAAATACTATGAAAATATGTGTGTATGTGTGTGTGTAACTGAATCACTTTCCAGTATACGTGAAACTAACACATTGTAAATCAACTATATTTCAATTAAAAAAAATTTTTTTTATTGAAAAAAAAATTGGGCTTCCCTGGTGGCACAGTGGTTGAGAGTCTGCCTGCCGATGCAGGGGACACGGGTTCGTGCCCCGGTCCGGGAAGATCCCACATGTTGCGGAGCGGCTGGGCCCGTGAGCCATGACCGCTGAGCCTGCACTCCGCAACGGGAGAGGCCACAACAGTGAGAGGCCCGCGTACAGCCAAAAAAAAAAAAAAAAAAAATTGAGGGCAGACATGACCACACAATTTCATCTCATCTGAGTTTAGCCTGAGTGTCTGCTGACCTGAGCACACACACACATGAACACACACACCCAGTAATGCAGAAAAACCACAATGCTGAAAACATGTATGTCAAACCCATACCCAGGCCATGCAGTTCTGAAACCAGTTGTATATAGACCATACTCTATTTGTCCAAAGCTTTACTGCATCTTTAAAATTGGGAAATTTGAAGTTCCAGGACGGTCTTAGCCAGCTTCTGCTAAGGGGTGTATCTGTTGAAGGAATAACCACTCTGTAGGAAAAACAAAACCAAACAAAGCAAAAACTCCTAAGTTGGAATTAGAATTAACTCCTAAGTCTAATTAAATAACAAGCTAGTTTTATAGTATGACTCAGGAGCAGAGACTATCTAAAGCCAAATTCTTCATTTACTTCTAGAATTCCCAGATTAACTTATGCAACAAATATTTATTGAGTAAATAAATAGTAATAAATAAAACAACATAGTAAACAAATAGGTATCTGAGATTTAGTAATGAACAAAATAGATAAAAATCCTGCCCTCATAGAATTTACAGTTTCATGGAAGAAAGGTAAAAATAACTAAATGAATAATATATGTGGGTTGTTAGGTAGTGAACAAATGCTAAGGAGCAAAAGATAAAGCAAGAGAGGGAATGTGAAACGTTGGGTGGAGGTGAAAATTTAGATAGGGTAGCCAGGGAATGTCTCACCGAAAAGGTGACTTTTGAGAACAAACGTCAAGGAAGTGAAGAAACTAGCAGAGCAAATATTTGGGATAAGAGCATTCCTGGCAAGAGCAATAGTAAGTGCAAAGGCCCTGAGGTGGGAGTTTGTCTGAGGTGTTTGAGGAATAGCAAGGAGGCCAGATGACTAGGGTGGAAAATTGAAGGAAGAAGATTAACAGATAATGTGAGTCAGACCATAAAGGTCTTGTTGGTCATACAAAGGATTTTCATTTTTACTCTGATAGAGGAAGACCTTGGAGAATTTAAGCAGAGGAGCAATATGAAATGATTTTGACAGGCTCACTTTGGCTATGTTGAAATACACTGCAGAGGCAGCAAGGGCAGAGCAGGAAGACCAGTTAGAAGGCTTTTGCAACATTCGGGAGAGAGAGGAGTCAAGGATGGTATCATGGTTACTGCTTTTTGAGGGTCTGTTTGTTTTAAAATTTTTTCTGTAAAGAGACCTTTAACAAAAAATGTATAAATATGTTATTGTGAAACCTACTGCCTTAGAGTTCTTAGATTTTAGAGTCTCTTTTAATAACACATTTAAGCCCTGAGTCCCAGAGAATAAATGATCAAACTTTACCAAAATAAAGATTTAAGTTTTAGTCATATACACCTCTTTCATCACTTAGTTACCAGGTTTATATAATTAAATCGACTAGGAAAGTAGAAAATAGTTACTGTGCACCTCAAACCCAATTCCTTGTGATTTTTACTTCATTTGAACTCTTAACCTATGATCGCTACATAAAATCAGGACGCTCAGTTAAAATTTAATTTCAGATAAAGGGTGAATAACTTTTTAGTATAAGTATGTTAGAAATGTTGCATGGGACAATACAAAAAACTCATTCATTGTTCATCTGAAATTCAAATTTAACTGGGTGTTCTGTATCTTTATTTGCTAAATCTGGTAACTTGTTCCTAAAATGATCAGATTTTTAATATTTTCTCTGTTCCATATTACGCCTTACCTTTCTGGTGAGGGTGGTGGAGCGGGAGGTGTAACTAGCTTAGACTGAAAGTGAGAGGCCTCTTTTCTTTTGAAAAATCTTTTCGCTTTGGCTTTTAGCTTTCTTCTTCGTTGCTTGAACTTGGGCATGGTTTCTGTAGAGAAAATTTGTTTTTACATTTTTTATTGAGGAATAATACATATACATAGAAAATACACAAGTTTTAACTACAGTTCAATGAATTATCAGAAAGTGAACACATCCTTGTAACCGCCACCTTGGTTAGGAAATAGGTCACCACCAGCAACCCAGAATCCCCTTGAGGCAGGAGATAGATGGGCCCCAGGCTGAGCAGCTGGAATCTGTCCCCTGTAGACAGATATTTCAAGATGAAGATAATGGCAGGAGCAAGAAGGAGATGAGTTCTGTTTGGATAAAAAGCTAAAGAGACCACATATTTCTCATTCTAGAGGTCAAGGAGACCCCCAAGCGACACATGTGCAAAAAGGATCCTTGGGGAGGGGGAGCCAGACCATAATATGTTCTGCTAACTCCTCAGAGACCAAAGATGGAATCCATCTCGGCTAAAAGATGTGCGTGCACACAGGGGAGGGCCCTGTACCAGACCAAACATGGACTCAAAGTCAGACAAAGCAAGATGATTGGCCAGAGGTAACCCAGAACTGCCCCCATATAAGTAACATAATCCACCCCAAAAGTGTGTGCCGCTCTCTCTCTTGCTCTCTGAGTTCACCCGTGCTTTCTCTGCATGTATCTTCTCTCCTAATAAGCATGTTACTTGCCTCACTACTTTTTGTCTCTTTGCTGAATTCTTTCTTCAAAGCAGACAAGCACCAGGGCAGTGCTGTGGTCAGGGTTCAATCCCTGGTCAGGGAACTGAGGTCCCACTTCAAGCCACCGCAGGCTGGAGCCACCTCACAGCCACCCAAGATCACCCTAAACTGGAGGAAAATTTAAACCCAGATTTAAACTATCTCTAGAGATACCTTGGCTTTGGCATTATATTACTCTCTAATTTTGTTTTTGTTTTGCTTGTTTTGCTTTTCTTCATTAAGTCAAGTGAATTTCCCTTTCTTTATAATGAAATCAAGCAGGACCTTTCAGGGCCTTCCCAGTACAAAAGCCCTTTTTGTTCCCTTTCTCTTGTTTGTAGAAAAAAGACTTCAGTCTCCTAAGCCTTCCTCAAGTTCCAAAGAGCAGACTCAAGCAGTTACTACTTAGAGAAGTGAGGGAATGCAGAAACAATGATAGGTTAAACAATAGTTCAGAGATAAAACAGAGTCACAGGACTCCTAGTTCCTCCTCAAGGGATATATATAATGATCTGATGCATATCTTTGTGTTGTCCTGCAGAATCTAAGACCACACCCCCCAGGTAAAAGATGGTTACCACATGCTGACCACCAGCACTTAGACCCCAGACTGGTTAGAACCATAAATGTTGATGATTAAGATTCCCCAGATATCACCCTGTTACCTTACCACCAACCAAAAAGTTGAAAGTCCGCCAGCTGATCAGGCATCCTATTACCCTCACCCCTAATGCTGCCTTTAAAAATCCTTGCCTGGGCTTCCCTGGTGGCTCAGTGGTTAAGAGTCCACGCTTCCACTGCAGGGGGTGTGGGTTCGATCCCTGTTCTGGGAACTCCCGCATGCTGTGTGATGCAGCCAAAAAAAATCCTTGCCTGAAAGCCATGGAGGACTTTGGCGCTTTTCAGCACCAGCTGCCCTTTCTCCCTGTTTGGTGCCCTGCAATAAACACTGTACTTTCCTTCACCACAACCTGGTGTCAGTTGATCAGCTTTGCTCTGAGTTGGGTAAGTGGACCTGAGTTTGGTTCGGTAACAATAACAGAGAAGATGGCTACAGTTGGGTTATGTCAGTTATTAAAAGGAAGTAAATTTCTTTGCTGGTAACATTTACTGAGATTCCAATATACAAAGTTGAGTTGGTAGTGAAAGAAAAACAAAACTAACCATTTATATAATGCCCATTTACTTTTAGACACCTTCACATACATTTTTTCAGTGAACCTTCATTACCGTGCAAGGTATTTTTCCTGAGGAAGAGGATTTTTATTCCCATTTTTACATAAGAATAAATTGAGGCTTAGAAAGATGAGATGATTTATCCAATGTAATGCAATAAAGCATTAAGTCCAGATTCATAAGTCTCCAAAGACCACTTTCTTCCTAATATGCTGTGATGCAATAGTAGAATAGGTGATATACAACAATATAACAATTACCCCAAATCTAAGACATGGGTGTTTCAAAACATTTATTTTAAAGCACTTTTAAACACTAACTAGTATATTTAGATTTTAACCCAGAATCCTTTTCTGAAGAAAATTAAGTCAGAGCTGGTGTGATGTGAAGAAGTGCTTTTTGCAGGTTTCAGTTTTTGCTACCTGAGGAACAAAGATGTCCTTATTCAAGTAGCAGAACTAAAAATGGTCTCAAAGGCTGGGCCTCCTTCTCTTCAAACTTACATTTGAATAGGAACAATTGGTCTTTAAAATACACATTCATTCCACTTTTGTTCACCCTGTAACCCTCCAGCACTTGGTATGTAGCTTTAAGCTTGCTCAGCTCTCATATTCCAAGGGCTGAAGAACCTCCCCCAGCTCCAATGTGGATAGTAAAAACTAAGAAATGTTTTAGTTCCAAGAGCACTGGACTCGCAGAGGGCACCCTCCATGGCAATGGGTGACAGAACGTATGTCAACAACTGGTCTAGGAGTAAAGTTTCTTGATAGCATCTTATTTAACAAATTGCCAGACCTCAGATTAACAGCGTATTTCTTAACTCTTCTTACAGGCTTGGGAGACATACCCCAAGACACCTGATTTCACCTTTATTGCATCACTTTTCCTTTTTACTGAAATAATGAATAAAGGCTAAGTGGGGATTATTAAATACAAGGGATATCTACAGGATTAAAAAAAAAACCACAAAACAAAAATACTATGAATGAAGATATTCAGGAAAGCCTCAGGAAGCAACAAAAAACTTATGGTTGCTTGGAAAAGAAATTAAACCTCATCAAATCCATGGCCAAGACTACCTGTCAAGAAATGTCACTGGAAACCTCTATCCAAGGCCCAGAGTTCACTGGTTGGGATCCCCAGAATCTGAGATTTCCCCAGTAACCTCCCCTTCCTGTCTTCCGTCTGCCCCTTCACAGCCCTCCCCCATTCTGTTCCTGTTCCCTCTCTCACCTGCCTTGATGTCTTTTGTTAGAGAGCAAACTGACACAGAGAACTGGCCTCCGGCCTCCCTTTTTCCTACATTCACCAATCAATCCCTCAGTTATGAAAACAGACTATAGAAAGGAGCTGGATGTTCTGGTTAAACTCAGTGGATTGACTCTATACCTTAACCTCCACTCCAGTGGTGTGTTGGGATTAGCCCTGACTTTTACATTTTTAGGAAGTCTGTGAGCCAGTTGTTTAACAGATCTACCATTTAAATTAAGTTATATAAACTTACAATTAGGTAATTTATATTTTAAAAGATAATCAATACACAAAACTCACCACTCCCTAATGATCTTACTATTATATATGCTCTTGAGGTTTTGGTTTTTTTTTTTTTTACCTGATTGTATCTATACAGTGAAAATGCTTTAGAATGGTGTATTATTGCTCATTTTTTCCCAACTGCACATTCAGTGACTTCATATTGGAAACTTGAAATTGCCCATGATGGGAGAATTTACACCACGGCTATTATAAAACACTACAAATTAAGGCTTGGTTTATTATTTTGTTGATTGTTAAGAAAGTGATGAAAAGAATGTTAATAGTGCAGATTAAACTTAAAAGTGTATCTTGTCTGTAGTTACATTGCGAATAGCACAAAAAAATTGAGGAGTATTATTCCAGTATTTGAAAATGATTATCTGATTCATCAGAGGTTGCTTACTGAAGTGAAGTTCCAAAATAAATCTTTGTGTTTTGCTTTTGTCTTACTTCACAGAGTAAATGAAAATATAAACCAACATTCATATCGGGACTAAGCTTGTTCATAAATTGCAACCACAGTTTGGTTACAAATAAAAGAAGTCTATAAAAATCAATAATAGCATTTTGTGAGAATCAATTGGCTATGAAATATATGAGTATTATATATTTTACCATTGCTTATAATAATTATGTTATATATCATAACAGTATATAATATCAGTAATTTATAATAAAATTATGTATATATATTTATAAATATTTATTAGCACACTACTGGTGGAGCATCATGAAAACATCATGAAAAAGGCAGTAAAGGAATAAAAAAGGCATAAACCCACAGGACGAAGAATGGGAGTAGACCCTATAATAGATGATAGATGTGAACTAAATCATCTACAAGTAGTAGTAACTGACTTGGCAAAGCAGAGGAAAGCTGAGGCTTGCCTGCCTGGTAGGGAAGCCAACAGGAAGCAAGACCATTCCCAAAACTCTGAGAAGATTCGGGACTTGAAAGCACCTAGCTCCTTTGAAGGTTTGGGGTAGGGCTTAAATTGGATTGATTAAAAGTCTTTATAAGAATTGGATAGGCCTTTGACTTCTGCCCTCCCATCCTTACAGCCAGGCAGTGTCCTGGCTTTCATTTTATGGACAGGTTTATTCTCTGGAGAAGTTGAACCTAGAGGTGCTGAATTTGGGTCACCAAGCATAGCAGGGTCATGTCTCTGTCACTATACAGAAGATAGGGGATGATCCTAACTGAAAAGTGAGACTTTCAATCCCCTTCCTCAGCTCCGCTCCCAAAATACAGGCCACCAAGTTTTTTTTGTTTTTTTATTTTGGGCTGCGTTGGGTCTTCGTTGCTGCGCGCGGACTTTCTCTAGTTGTGGCGAGTGGGGGCTCGCCACTTGTTGTGGTGCCCGGACTTCTTATTACAGTGGCTTCTCTTTGTTGTGGAGCACAGGCTCTAGCCATGCAGGCTTCAGTAGTTGTGGCACATGGGCTTCAGTAGTTGTGGCTCACGGGCTCTAGGGCACAGGCTCAGTAGTTGTGGCACAGGGGCTTAGTTGCTCCGCAGCATGTGGGATCCTACCAGACCAGGGTTTGAACCCGTGTCCCCTGCATTGGCAGGTGGATTCTTAACGACTGCGCCACCAGGGAAGTCCTA